TTCTATGATTTGTTTTTTTGGTCATACATTTCCATTTTTGGAGAGGATATAGGATCTACACAGCCAATAAAAAGTTCTGCGACTAAGTGACTTGCACTATAATAATAAGCTTGATTAATAATACATAGAGAACTACAACATTATTATCTTCTTTCCATACACCTTGCTATAGCTGCTTTGTAACATGGCGCATTATCTTCTTAATTCACTATCACAAGCTTATGAAGAGGAGGAGGAAGACATACCAATAGAAGATGAAACTCATTCCTTAGTAGATGAAGTGCCACTCCTGAACAAAAAAAATCTCTAGAGGAAGAAAATGAAGATAAAAGAGATGAGATTGTTCTTTCTTTACAAGAACAAATAGTTCAATTACAAAAAAGAACTAATTGAACCAAAAGCAAACAAAGAAAATCTCTCTAAATTGGAATATAATAACAAAATTCTTCTTTAAAAAGTAAATTAGAACAGTTAATAGAGCAAGAAAATCAAATCAATAATGATAATAACCAATCAACCAATTACTTGCCTTATATTTTTGGAGGAGGAATAATAAATAGTGTTGATAGTAGGAGATTTTGGTTATCTGTCAGAAAGAAAGAAAAAAGAAAAAATTAAGGAATGAATTAATAATATTAACAGTTGCCATGTGGCAACTGTTCTTTCTGATGCAGTGTTAATATACACATATTCACCTATACTAATACTGATAATCAACCTGAGATAGGTGATAAATTATTTTTCTTTGAATTTTTAGGTTAGTAGGTAACAATATATATATATTGTTACCTACTTATGTTAGACTGTTACCTACCTATGTGGCCTAATCTGATTTTTTGGCCATGTTCGAGTGTGGCTAATTTTTATTTTTTGGCCACTCAGATGTGCACGTGACTGAAACTTCTGGGTGGCCAATTTTTTATTTCTGGCCACATAAATAAACAGTATTCATATGCATCTCACTTGTATGACATCATTCAATTGCAGGTTGATGAGTGAGGTGTATTTTGCATTTTTGGCCACATTTATGTAGCACTTTGGGAGGGCTTTTCAAGCCTTTTCCAGTAGTATTCCACCATTCTTCAATGTTTTTTAGCATGTAAAATACATAACTTATATTCAGAGCCAGTTGGCCTACCGCACTCTTCACAAGGTACATGTCTAGGAGAATCCCAATGAACTTTACAACCCTCTGGGCGATAACTTCCCCGGTTACATTCCCCATCAGTTCTAAGAATATAAGGACAACAATAAAATCCCATATCCTCTTCACTTTCTTGTGAGCCAAAAAAACCTTCATCTATTTTTGTTTTTTTTTCATCAAAAAATTCATCATCGCTGCTTCTTTGTCTTTTTCCAGTTACAGTCAAACCTTGTTATAACGGATTTTTGTTATACCAGACAAAACTTTATTTCTATTTTTTTTTATTAAATAAAAAATTTTGTTATAACGGATTTATATAATAAACCTCGTTAT